AATCAACTCGGGGCAGTGCAGTCGTCGACGAGGCTAATGGACTCAACGTGAGACGCAATGTTTACACCAACATTGTCCTCTCCCTTAACATGTTAATATCCGTTGTGAATTGAGATGAGCTACAAAGCGAACCGAATAATAATTAAACGGACGGTAAATACTCATGGCAATGAATAAACGTTACAGCAATGGTTGATTGTATATATTCTAGCGTCGCCTTGTGCTTTTAGAACATTACGAAAATACTGCTCCGACGATTAGTGGGTCTACTTTGCTACTTTGTCACTCAATGTGCAGTGATATTAACAGTGAAGTGAAATCATGGAGAAACAGGTACAGGTGTAGATTACACAGCGTGTGCGGACACAGGTCTTACCTGAAAGATTGGTTTGTTAACGTCTTCGTAAATAGGCAGTTCTGATTGAACGATCCCTATCTACCGCCCCGAAAGATAGATAGTTCCGGGGAGACTACAGGCCCGGCGGTAAGACCAGGGTATGGCGGGTGTCCGGGCCAAGTCCTCCGCCAGTGATACGCCTTCACGAGCTTCTCTGGTGGACCCGGATTTGGGTATAGATAATGCACACACTCAATAATAGTGCATCTTAGTAGAGGTGTGATTGTGTGACCTCCTTACACCGTCATCTCACCTTTTTATATCGTACCATTTTTTCTTTTGACTGTATTTAAATTTTAAATTTGAATTGTTCCATCTTCCTTCGCTTTCTCATTTTTGCTTCGTACCACAGTGACTCTCTGCTTGACCGCGATAGCGGACAGAACTACTAAATCAAATTGTCTAATTTTTTATTATTTTCAAGTTTAATCATAATACAATCCATGTAAATCATGTATCGACCATAATGAGCGAATAACACTCTATCCAATATCTGTAATTCAACATAATACAACCCGATAAGGGCTTTTTTACTTTACCTCTCGTTTTACTTTACTTCTTTTAATAAATTTTGTGGACCGGAAGTTTCCTGTTTTACTGCCGTGATCTTGATCACGGTTGTTAGAGTTACAACCCTTTCAGAGGTATAGACGAGGGCCTAAGGGAAGGAGACTCGCGGGCCTCGTGAGTTGCGCTTCAAGTTGAAAGTTATGTCCGGACATTGTCGCACGACACTGCGACTGACATCTCCAGTACCTACTAGACCATAGAGCTTGTAGAGGACGAGCTAGACATTCTCCGGTCTCTCTAGCCTAGTTTCCCTAGCTAGTTAGCCTAGGTTTCTGGGAACTGGAGAGACGCTTCCAGAGGCGTAGGGAAGTAAGCGTACCTTACAACTCCGCCACCAAAGAGGAAATCTCACTTAGACTTGACAAAAATACGACCATTCTGTTGCGTACCGTGATAGGTAGTCAGACGTAAGAGAGTGGCGAAAACGCAGTTATGCATATTTCCTTTGGCACAAACTGTATGTTTTATTTGCATGCGCTATCCCGTGCTTATATCGCGACAATGCATGCGGCGCGTTTAGTTGGTAGGCAACGCCAGCACAATGTAAATTATTTTGTCAAGGAGCGTTCTTCTGCTAATAATGCCTAGCTTGTATAAAATAAATTATTCACTATTTTTCTAAGCCCTTTTCTTTAAATTTTATTTAAAAATAAAATGTTTCGACTTAAACAAGAGGTTTTGTTTCATTCTGTATTGTATGCTAAAGTTACAATATATTTTATTCTCAAACTTGTTACTTTTTATTACTTGTAGCAAAAATACAATAATATTTAATGCTATGTTTTTTTATTATAAACATTTATCTAAAAGTCCAACATAAGATTTTAAAATTGAGCAAGACTTTTAACCACCATGTGGCGCTTTAGTGGGTCATTCACTCATTTCATTCATCATCATCATCAATTCTTCAAAAAATATGCAACCCTTCCAGTGAATGGGTAGTCTAGAAATCTAGTAATATGTTAATGAAAGTACGATGACAGTACAATAAATCATTAATACTGCGATCATTGCGCGTAGCTACGTATACGCGCACACCTGCATATCAATTAATATAAAACCATATGCATATTTGGTAACAAATAAGTGCGTGTAAAAATCAGCTAAGCTAGTTCTCGAAGAAATTGCTTTAAATGCCATTTCCATATACTTCATGGTTAAGACTAATTATAGCAAGTATAAAACAATGCCTAGTTCAATATTCCTTTAGTTATGAAACATAATGTCGATATCAATTAAATGTCACATCCATATCTGTAGATTGTCAACTTGTTGCTTTTGTTCCAAAAAGGTAATGTTCATGGGATTCTTAACTTTATATAACTAGTAATGATAAAACCTTATTGCATTCGAATAAGTGTCAATTCTTTTTACCAAAACTTTTTCATTATTGTCTCATTTCGTTTGATAATTTGTAACCAATCAAAATTATATCCAAGTACTAATGTAAAATTACGTTTTCAAATGTGTTCGTGTGGTGATACCGGTTTCGATACTAATCGTTTGACGCCATTTCCACTTATTTTTTTACTTCCGTGGGTATTCCTATATTGCAAACATTCACATATACCTATACGCTTAGAATAACAACGCATAGAAACCTAGCCCGCACACGTTAAGTGAGGCAAATTGTATGGGCTTACACGAGCGAGCGGGCTGTCAGTGCTCAAGGTCAAGTTACACCGCGAGCAGCTCAAAAATTTTTGCTAAAATGACGAAATGTGCGGTAATTGGGTTTAAAAATAGATCAGACAAATATAAAATAGACACTAACATCACATTCCACAAGGAAATAACGCGTTTCAACTTGTAATTTTATATAAATATTCACTAAAACAGCAAATTAATTTCGTTGCAACAATTTACGAAAATGTTGCAAGGTAACGGGTGTTTTCTCCCCATTTTGCTATTCTGTTTCAAAATAATTATATTACGTAATTTTTTGAGAATAGGCAATATCGCGACTATTGTAAAATTTCTACAAATGTACACCGCCGCAACAACATTGTAGGGAATTTACGTTAGCTATTTTTACGAAACATATTTAGTATTTGCCTTCATTAGTTTCATGTGAAAAATCATTATTCTTGTTCATCATACACTCATTTAAAAAAATTGTCTTGCCCAGACTTAAAAGTTCTAACTAAAATTATTTCAGGAAACTAACTCTAATTAAAAAGTCATCGTCAGTTCTCCAAAATCGTGTATAACTAACTTTCAGGTTCAGGTTCTTAATTGTTATCGTGTACTTTTCATGTAAACATACCCACAGATAACATCAGGCTATTTATATATTCAAATTCGATAGTCGCACTTAACTCGCTTGTAGGTTTTTGTTCATATATGAGTTAAATAAGAATTGGGTAGTATTTAATAAGGTGCCTACAGATTTGCTCGACAATGTCGATCGACAGTAACGATTGAGAATTATAGACGTGTTCGAGGAGTTTTAGAGTGCTTGTATGTATATGTATTACGAATGTAGCATTAATTTCTAAATCCAAGATGGTTGACAACAATTTTCAAAAATGTATTTTTGGTAAACCATAAGGAAATGTCATGTATATCTGAATACAAGATGGGGGACAAGACTTCTAATTCTTCTTCTTCTAATTCTTTGCCATCTTGGATTTAGAAATATGTGCTATATTCGGAATGAGCAGCCCCTAATACCTTGAAAACGACACCCAACTTGCCATTATTCGAAAAATCGTGCCCGCCATCTTGGATTTAGAAATTAGTGCCATGTTCTTAATGAGCACCCCCAAATACCTCGAAAACGACACCCCACTTGCTATTATTTGAAAAGTCATGTCCGCCATCTTGGATTTACAAATAAGTGCTATATTCCTAATGAGCACCCCCAAATACCTCGAAAACGATCCCCAACTTGCCATTATATGAAAATCGTGCCCGCCATCTTGGATTTAGAAATGAGTGCCATATTCGTAATGAGCACCCCCCTAAATACCTCGAAAATGATACCCATATTGCATTTATTTCAAAAGTCGTGTCCGCCATCTTCGATTTAGAAATAAATGCCATATTCGTGATGAGCACCTCGAATACCTCGAAAACAATTCCCATATTGCATTTATTTCAAAAGACGTGTCCGCCATCTTGGATTTAGAAATGAGAAAAGTCGTGTCCGCCTTCGTGTATTCAGATATAAATGCCATTTCCATAAGGATTACCAAAAATAAATTTTTGAAAATTCCTGTCACTTGACGTTGTCGATCAACAGTAGCGATCGACAAAATCGAGCATATCTGTAGGCACCTGATCGACAGTAACGATCGACAAAATCGAGCAAATCTGTAGGCACTTTCTAACTTAACGATGAGTTAAGCAAGATACAATTTCCCCACTTTTGAGGGAAATGTTATTCCATGGCCTCATTATTTGTATATTTGTGTGCGTGCCGACGAGCGTAAATACAAGTTGCTTACGCTTACATGAATTTGATTTTTGCCTCACTTGTGACAGTTCGTTTTTTATGAAACTATCATTCTATGCGTTATTATTCTAAGCCTATACCATAGATCATACACTATATATTTGAGATAGATGCGCAACTCTATAGTTCGGTATTTTAATTACGAGGTGGGAAACATAGATGTCGCGCCATCCGTTTCCTACAAAATCCAGCAGATGGCGTTAGAGGATCTAGTTGTTTTAGCCTAAATAAAAATACGGGATTTTAAATACATTTACAAAAAAATCAATAATCTTGGGACTTTAAAACAGAAATAATCGACCACACGAAGATTATTGATTTCTCTGTTAAAAAAAAAACATGGATACATGTTAGAAATTCTGTTTTATTAAAAATACAATTAAGTACAAAAAGGTTAGTTGGAATAAATCCCTCTATGGGATAAACTCGCCTTTGTACACATATATTACTTTTGTTTTACGTTGTTAACTTATATTTACTTGTTTTGTGGTACAATAAAGTGTTTACAAACATACATACATACAATTTACAACTAATCTAAACGTACTAAAACAAACTGAGTATCCTCTTTTCAAATTTTTCTGTTGACTTGTAGAAGTCTCTGGTTCAGGCTCTTCAATTAAAGCTGAAGACATTTGCTCTGTAATAAAATAATAGGGGGTTAAGCATCACTATGAAAAAAAATGTATTTATTAAGTAAATATTTACTATGAGGCAGTCTGGGGCGGTTCAACTGTTTTAAACTTTTTATAAAATTTTATTTCAAATTCAACAAAGTAGTATTAATATGCCTTATTATTGGAGAGTATTATGGGATTGAAGGGTCAATTACAGAAAGTTCCATTATAAAAATGACCTGCACTCTAAAACATACCGATAGACTGCATTCCTTGCCCATTTTGTGAACAACTTGGAGATACCTCAGGATTAGCTGCAGTGGTCACATTTAATGTTGTTGGTGCAGAAGTTTGTTCTATAAGGAATTATTAATAGTTATATGTTTAATCACTTCTGTCTTTATCTAGACCTAACAACCTGCTAGGCGAAAAATCTAATTGTTTTCCATTGGTCAGATTGATGGTCAGACTGGTCTCACAACAAATATTGTTGTTCTTGAAAAATCTTGATAATTTTACTACCATGATTTTCATATGCTTTTTTGTGAAAATACTACACTACTTTTATATTATTTTATACCAAGTTACAATAGAAACACAAAGAAAATTCATTCGACCCCAAACCAGCTCTTTCTTGCCGGGACAGAGCACTTTGTGTAAAATTAAATCTGAACATACTGTCACATTAGGTATTTAAAATGATATTACATTCCAATGAGTCTATTTTTTCTAAATAGTTATTTATATTGAATAGCGAAAACAGCTATTTAGAAAAATTATTACATTATGTAAATAAAGCCTTAAAGAATCATCGTCACATCAGTTGTAAGATGTACCCTAAAAGAAAAAAGTAGTAAGAAAATATGGTGCACCTAGATGTAATGTTGGAACAGCATTTCTTGTTAGTCGGTGACTGGTCTTGGATTTGTAACAGTCTTCAAAATGTCTTACATAGACGAATCATATTAAATATGTATGCATTGCCTTTTTGTTGGGCGTCTGGTAAAAGCACCGTTTTCCACTTCTTAAATCGTTCGGTTTGTCGGTCTTTGGCCCTATCGGGAAATTGGTGCAGTGTCCCTAAAACAAAAAGTAAACATATTTTTTATAAGGCGCTATTTTGAAAGCCTCTTTATGAGCCGCTTTCTTAATTACACCAGCATTTCAAGCCCAGTGTCTTACTTATTTTAACTTATTTGAGACTATTACATGCTCAGATACAGTTTAGAGTAGCATGGAGAATTACTTACCGCCACCCGTACGTCCAAAATAGCATTTAGGATTATTTGGCATGTTTTTTAACTTTCGTACGTAACACGTGGAGGAGTCTCGGAGTCCGTGAGTTGCGCCAGGTCGAATATGCAAGCAAGTTGCAGTGTCCAACTTCAGGTCAGGTAGGGTACAATAAGCAGAAACACAGGTCCTTAGGATCGCCGGGTCGGATGTGGAAGCAAGCAGCAGTATCAAATTTCAGGCCAGGTAGGGTAATTCAAGGAGGAAACAACAATTGAACACTTTGAAACTATAACGCCACAAAATGAACAGTACGAAAACGCGGATGAAATTTTTTTTCATAGCAAGTCGTAGTGTTACCATTTTATTAATCACGCAATCGCATTCGTCAAAAAATGCAATGAATAAAATTACTTTCCAAGGTTTTACAGCATTTTAAAAATGCAATTTTATATTTGATGGTAATAAGCAGATTGCAAGACTCTAAATTCTAACTTAAAAATTTAAATCGTGTAGTGGGTACGTTCATTAACGTCAGATAACTTTTGGGATTTTTATGTATGGCATTACCTGTTTCCGTTTACGTTTCTTTACACGCAGGTTTTTTTTCTGAGAAAATTGTTTTCTCCTTAATTTAATGCAATGGTGATGCCATCTATATCTCTATAGAAGCAACTGTGTCTTATTAATTCTGAGGTCAGTTTGTTAGATGGCAGCAACAAACAAACAAAAAATCAAACTCTTCAATGTATGGCAGTTGCACGCCCCTGGCCTATACGTAACTTCGTAATTAAAGTTGCTATTGCTGCCACGGGGATTGAAACCATCCAGATTCAGATTCATTTATTTCTCAAATATAATATTACAGTATAAATTACACTACACGTCAAGGTATAAGAAATTATATTGAGAGCGTCACACAAAATTGAAAATTATAAAATGAAAAATACACATTAATCATAAAATTACCAATTCATTCTTCAGAATTGGTAATATATTATATATATTAATATATTGGTATATTAATATATCCATAATATATATTATTATTAATATTGGTATCATTGAATTGTGTATTCAAATTGGAGGAAATAGTACAAAAGTATGTCAGTGTGATAAAAATTAATATAAATAAATTAGAAAATACTAAATAGCGTTATATTTTAAGTTCCATGAATTCATTTAGAGAGTATAAAAGGTTTTCCAAGAAAAGGTCTTTCAGCTGGCGCCTAAATGTTTTGTCAGATGGTTCAAGTCTGAGAGTAGCGGGCAGACGGTCATAGTAAATGGGTACGATAACACGCGGATTTTTATTGCAAGTGCCATTCTTCTTCTTAAAATACCTCTCCACTATCAGTAGCTTGGCCGTCAATATGGCAAATTTGTTCCTGTCCATGGCCAAACGAAATAGTTGTTCTGCGCTCGTCACTCCGGTTTACTCCCGTATGTTGCGCAATCACGACTTTTTAGCACAACACCCTTTTCATTTTCATGAAAGACGCAAGTGCCATACGACCTCTCAAATTTGAGAACTGGGCTCTAAAACTACTGCTTTGTAAAACTAAGTAATCGTGAGATATCAATTATTTTTCTATGTATAGGAGTGGTTGGTACAGATTCACAGTCACATAATTCGATTAGTATTGTTAAGGCCGACTTTGCAATTAACGATCTAAGTTATATGAACTTGCGACTACTTAGGAGTTACGGAACTGAGCCCTAGTTAATCTATTGAAAAATGTATGAAATCGATTACTATCGATTTAATATTATACTTAATATTTTACCTGTAATACCCTTGTGCTTCTGAGATCATCTTATACGTTGAACTATAAATTGTTAAAGGAATTTCAACTTTATAATAAAAGCAATCCGTTGGAGTTTTGGTTAAAAATTATCATATTAATTTAGACAACACTACATTTTATTGAAATAAACGTCAGGAAGTTATATCAATATATTAGTTGCTTTAATACTTTTCGTTACACTTAACTACTCAGAACCAAAAGGTGGTACATCATACATTTATTTACTTATTATTATATTTGTTATGTTTTGCATAACAAATGGAAAGTGGAGAACTAAAAGGGTTACTTCTTACACAGGAAGGAAGGAATACTACAGAAAGAAAACGTATAATTTTAACGAAAGAAAAAATGCTAAGCCTCCGCTAATGGAATGTTACAACTGAAAATCATGCTCTCCCTCAGCTACTTTCTGAAACTTTCATAGGGTTCAACAGTCGTCGGTTCCGTGACTTGTTTAGTACGTTTCCTTTCTTTTGAGTGTCATTTTATAACCGTACAAATTATCCATGAAGTTTGTAATACATCTAATTGGAACTTAAAAATTTTCTTAAAATTAATTAAAATCTTACACAGATACTTTTCTGCTTATTTGTCACAGCTCAAAGCTTTTAGAAGACGTTCTACGACAAGTTGCTAAAAAGTTTGAACAGGTACTGAATGTTTTTATTTAGTTGCAGTAGGAATTCAAAAAACTTAGTGGTATGTTTTTTATACCCAACAAAATTGAATTTTATAGTCAGAAAATTGCTTTTATAATATTACATTAATAGGTTTTGCACGAACATTTTGAATTTGTCCTTTTATTGTCATGCTCCAATCAGATGATCCAATGAAGTGAGATACGAATAATCTCAGTACAGAGTACAAAAAAAACTGACCTCAAAAGTACGTGGAATTACGTCTATTTGCTAAGTTTTATAGAAATATCCCCTAGTTCGCCACTATACAGGACTTGACGCTGGAGATAATAAAAATAGGTTCTTACTACTCAAAGTACATTGAAAGACAAACGCCTCAAGGCGAAATAACATTGGAGAAATAACAAAATTAACCATTAAAGTAATTACTCCTAAATTAAAGTTAGGCGCTATTTATAAAAATGAATCTTCATGTGTGAACAGCCACTCTTCAATTCAGTTCACCCTTCAAAACACTCTCCATTATTATAAAAATACCTTTCGCATCTTTGCCCTATTTGTGGGAAGGTCATTGTTTCGCATATTCGCTTTCTATTATGTTAATCGTTTCCCCACATAACCGGGCCCATTAGATTGCTCTTTTCGTTTGAATTACTGCGTTCAATCACGCATATACAAATTTTGTGTTCCTTGACGCGTTATAATTTAATAGGAATATCGATTTATTCGCAACCAGCGAGTGGAAGTTATGATGTATTATCATTTTTTTAATTAAATATAGATGTACACGCCACAAATCTCACCTGATCTAAATGCCTTCGCATACAGACAAATCCTCGTTTCGATCGATCGTCACGATAATCCTATCGATCCGTCGCTACACCCTGGAATTCAATTTGATCATTAATGACATAAACATAAACTATCGATTAGTTGTATCGAGTTTTTAGGTTTTCGCGATTGTTACACATAGGAAATTAAACTATTTTTCCGAATTTAAATCGCGCATATTTGTATTTTCAAACAAACCGACGTTTCGTGCTCGTTACAGGACCTATGGTCACGGTTGACTGTCAACCGTGGGACTTGTAAAGGGCCCGAAACGTCGGTTTGTTTGGAAAACAAATATACGCGATTTAAATCTGGAACAATAGTTTCATTTCCTATATCGATTAGTCGTTTCGATCAGTCTGAAGCGACGGGTCGTGAAGACAAATCAGCTGTATATAAGAGACTTTACGTGACAATATGACCGACGATAGTACGCGTTATCTAAAAAATGCCCAGTTACTTTAGTCTGGAACTACCTCAAATTGTAGTTTTAGAACTTCTTCTAAAACTCAAATTGTACTTCTCCTTCTCTTTAGAAAGAAGAAAGAAAGAAAATTCATTTATTTGCACACCACAAATGACACCACACAAAAAGGAATAAATAAATAGAAATAAACAACTCAGAGAAAAAAATTAAAATAAGAAAAACAAAAATACAAAAAAAAGCATTCATACCTACTTGAGACACAAATAAATAGTTACGGAACAAAATTACAAACAAAACGAAAACGAAATTACACCACAGATTATTTAATTAAAATACAAGACACTACGTGTAAAGATACTTTGTGTGGTGTCAGCTGCGGTAACAAAAGGGTCATTAACTCAGTATTTGCTGGAAAATGTAATGCGTTCCCAGCACTGATTTTTAGTTAGTTAGTATTTTTAGTTAGTAAGGGTCACGGAGCAATATTCGCGATAATACCTACTTAATAAAAACATTTTCATAAACACAGATGGGTAGATGTGTTGATCAAGTGATATATCAACGACATAAGGACTCTAGTCGATCGAAGGAAGAACGATGGAGCTAAATTGTAAAGTTTCTGCACGCACTTTTCAAAATATATCTTACCTATAACCGAGTTTTCTATGATGATCAAAATTTTGAGCTTCAAAAATCGTTGCCAATAAGACTCCTTGCTATATATATATATATATATACGAAAAAGGACCCTGAATGTGTTTACTTAGTCCAAATTAGACCGGTGCACTGCCAATATTAGAAAGAAATGAATAGCGAATCTTTTAATTTTTTTATTGTGCCGTGAAGCCATTCAAATTTTAAAAATTCGACGTAATTTGTATCTACTAGCGGTGAAGAGGCTATATTACACGATTCCTTTCATATTGCCTTAAATAATTAATTATTCCAATTACTTACCTCAATAACATTTCCACTTAATTTTGAGTCAAAGTAAAGCCATATTTTTAACGGACAGTACCGCCTGACGTCTACTTTCCCCATGTAATACACCTCACTGTTTGTCCTACGAGTAAGCTGCTATAGTAAAATGTTGCCGGCAGAGCAACTGTATCTTCCTTTGACTTGAACGTCTTTGCTGATAGATGATGATGATGATGGTGGTGGTTATCAACTACACAAATCACATTGATGACGTCGTTGGTCCAATGGTTAGCCTTTTGGGCGCTAGATGTGGCTGTCTCGGGTTTGATTTCATTATCATATTTAAGAGCCACACTCCTGTAGGTATAGCCGCCTCCAATTTTTTCGGTTTATAGTCACCTCTTTGACCTCCTTGTAGGTGCTTACTTTAACCTTCTTCTTTATTTGTTCACTATACGCCCTTCTTGATCTTCCTCTCTTTCTTTTCCCTTCTAGCTTCCCCTCAATTACCATTCATACAAATTCATCTTTACATAATAAAACCTGTTACCCCTCTCTGTTCTCAATTTTAATTGATAGTTTAATTTCAGGTGGGACTAATTCAGGAAACAAACTTTTCTGGGTGTTATGTATGCCTAAGGTGCGCAGTTCGTTTAGTGTTTGTTGTGCGAAAGACGCCCGTAATTTGAGGCGTAATTTGAGTCGAATGAATTGTTAGCCTGACACGTTATTATTAGTATATCAGTAGAAGCTTAACGCCTATTGGAAATATTGGCTTAATAAGTGAAACAACATCACGTCGGGTTTACTTCG